GGTTTCATTCTTGAATATGAAAAATCCATTGCTCCTTACAATTAAATATTAAGAAATACAATTTTTCAATTCATAACTTTTTACTCAAGGTGTGAGAAAATAACCCGAGTTTGTATAAATTATTCCCATGATCATAGTTACTAATGATGATTCTGCTTTTTAAAAGCCTTTATTTAAAAAAATGTTTTTAAAATATTGGTATCCCCAAATACATGAGATGCTGTTTGTTGATAAAAAAGATTATCAATTTCTTCTTAGAATGAATAATATTTAAAAGTGATAACAGCATGAAATCAGTTCTCAGATCAGCTGTCACCACTGAGAGGTAAATAGTTTGGGGGCATTAATGCATTCAGAGAAACTACAAAAATAATCCCATATTTACATATTGTTTACATTTCCTTACATCTTCCCTTAGTCATCATTCTACTTTGGAAAGTTCTTGTTAAAGAACTAACAGGAGAATTGGATTCTCACTCAAGATAGTGTCTTTTAAATGGTTTTCTTAGGTTCAGAATTTTGACTTAATTTTTAGGCAGATTCAGGCAGTCATCCCAGCTACACTTTCTTTATTCTGATTGTATGACTGAATTAACTTGGTCAACAATTAGCCTTTTATTTCTAGAACCCCAAATTTTTATTTGAATTTCTTCCTCCTTTATTCATCAGCTCTGCCTCTTTTTCTGGTTTCTTCCTTTCTGACTTACAACTGTAAGCTTCAGTTAGGGACTATGTCTATATCCTTTCTTGTTCAGTATGCACTGCCTAAATATCTAATAAACAGGAGTTAGAAAAATGGTGAAGTTCAAAGATTAAGTTTGTAATAAAATTAATACATATGCTTACAGTGCCCAAAGTATTCTGTATTCCACAATAAAAATGTTACATTTCCTAATTACAGTCTTTACAACCAAATTATTAATTGTACTTAATTATATGCTGAAATAAAATAATGTTTTTGCTAAAAATCAACTGTGTGAAAATAAGACTGGAAGAAAATATGGTTCCTACTAATCTGATGGATCCAGGCTTGAAGCAAAATTGATTATATTTAAATTTGAGAGCTATCTGAATTCCAGGCTTGGTAACTACTTTTTTCTCTTCCTCAAACATTTCAAGACATAGCAGGACCCTCAGACTGAGTCATTTGAAATACATGGTCAGTTTGCCTGACTTCAATTAATGTAATACCTTAGATCTCTCCTTTCAGTTTATAAGTGAAGGTCAGAGTTTTGTTGGAGTATAGTAAATTATCCATTCCACACAAAAACTACTGTTCTGTTTGAATGGCTAGAAAAAAATGAAGTTATATGTATTAATTCCTAAGATCATTCAGTTTTCAAATCTTAGACCATGAGCAAAATGTTATTTTTTAAGGTAAATGGTCTAAAGAGAAATAGAAAATCCATTCATCAAACATATTCAAGCTGTTAGAATATTATTGAACAACTTCCAAAGGTGKTAAACTCTTGTTATGTAGATAGAACACACATATTTAAATCATCAGTTTTATTTTATTTTTATGAATACCTGGCCATCTCCATGACCTGTTTCTTTTGAAACCCTCTTTTGTGGTAGTTTTCTCAATCTGGTTAGCTTAGGTATCCTAATTATCATTTGTAACTTAAATAGATTTATTGAATGACTTTTGCTTTGACTGACATAAAAGATAACCACAATATTTGTGAAATTTGTGATAATTACAATTATCTCTCATTCTACAAAATGTACCTTCCTATAGGCTTCCCTGTCCATCCTTCTATCCATTCAGGAATTAGAGGTATCCCAGTTTTGCCAATATATAAAAAAACCTCTTTTTTGTTTTTTAATTTTGTCATTTTGATACATATTTAATTATGTTTGAAGGTCAAACTTCTTGCCAGAATTTTTGTCTCCTTTCAAGGGCAAACTTCTCCTCAAGATAGTTTCTGAATTTAGATGAAAGTTCAATAAACCATTTACCATTGGTAAAAGGGGCCCAAGGTCTCTCTATATAAAACTTGAACATAATAAATAACATTTAGATAAATAGCTGTCCTGGATCCTCAGATGCCTCAAAGGTCATGGCTTTTGACCTCTTTGGTTATTGGGCAAACTGCTGGCATTTKGTCACTACCAGCTAATATCCTGGCTGTTTCTTAGGTTTTAGCCTCTGTCCTTGTTGGACTTCTATAGAAAAAATCTACAATCAGAGCAAGCCAAAGTGTTTTTTTTTCTTGGCATATGTGGCCCTACTGGTCTCTCCATGCCAACCTTCTATCCTGGACTCCATGTTGGCTCTTACTAGTGCTATGAACCCTATATCTCACAACATTAATTCCTAGGGTCATTTAATTGTCAAATCCCAGACCATCCGTTGCCCACCCACAGTCTCTGCTTTTTAGAAGCTCACCTTTTTTTTTTTTTCCTATAAAACTCAGCTTTTGCCAGGCATAATGGCACACACCTTTTGCAGGGCATGAGGCTGAGGCAGAAGGATCACAAATTTAAGGCAAGACCCAGCAACTTAGTGAGGCCCTAGGCAACTTAGCAAGATCCTATTTCAAAATAAAAAATGAAAAGGGCTGGGGATTTGGTTCAGTGGGTAAGTGTTTCTGGGTTCAATCCATGGTGTGAAAAAGAAAAAGAAAAGTAAATCTCAGTTTTCTAGATTGTTATTTCACTGCAGTCTAAGTAAAAAGGCATCTTTGGGGCTTTAAGCAATGACTTCTCCTTTTCAGACACCATGTGTCCTTTCACTAAAGTGCTGAGACTCGTAAGTTTACTCAGTGAAGAAGTACAGGACAGCATGGTTTAAGGGGAACGAAAAAAACCACTTGATTAGATCAGAAAATACAACAAATTGGTAAGTTGATTGACTCTCAGTTACAAACAACTCAATAATTCAAAATCTAGTGTAAAAAATGTTAAATATTTTATTATGTATAATTGACCCAAGGAAGGGCATATGAAACAAACTCAGCACCCAATCTAGGTGGGAAGTCTCATAGGAGAYCCTCTCCCTTCATAAAATAAGAATMATTATAGAATAAATTTCACTAAATAGGCAAACCAGAAATAATATCTCTCCAGAAAGCTGTAAGTAAAATATACTGCCTCAAACATTTTCACTGTGTGGAGAAGAAAAATAATTTTCATTGAGAATTCATACCACAGGCTGAAAAATATGATATAAAATGCATCAAAAGAGGCAAAAGCTGGAAAATATGTGTCAAGATACAAGGAGGTCAAATGAGAAGTCCTGACATACAGCCAATCAGAGGGCTTTTAATGGAGTGAATACATACCAGAGAGAGAATGTTTGAAGGAAAATGTTCCTGGAAATTATGGAAGAGATCAACCCACAGATTCAAGAACCCCAAAGAGCCTGTAAATCTAAAGCAGGATAAAATAAAAAAGAAATCCTCAGCCAGGCATGGTGCCTGTGTGTCTTGGGAGGCTGAGGGAGGAGATCACAAGCTCTAAGCCAACCTYAGCAACTTAGTAAGACCCTTCCTCAAAAGAAAGGAAAAAAGGTCTGGGATGTAGCTCAGTGGTAGAGTAATCCTGGGTTCAATCACCAGTACCATAGTAGGAGGAGAAGGGGAAGAAATCCTCTCTCAGATATGCTGTTGCAAAACTSTAGAATATCAAAGAAAAGATATTAAAAGCAAATAGATAATAGATAGAAAAATGCATAGCATTTGAAACCACCACTGACTTCTCCATAGTAACAAGGAAGGCAGAAGTCAGTGGTGGTATCTTCAGTTTGCTAAGAGAAAATACCTAACATGATTGAAGGCAACATAAAGAAATAACTTTTAGATAAGGAAAAAACAGAAAGCTGGGCCTTGTGGTAGATAACCTAGGAGGATCACAAGTTTGAGGCCAGTATGAGCAACATAACAAGACCCTGTCTCAAAATACAARCAAAAAGGGCTGGAGATGTAGCTYAGTGGTAGAGCATTTGCCTAGCATGTGTGAGGTCCTGGGTTCCATTTCTAGTAATGCAAAAAAACAAACATCAGCAACAACAAAAATATCAAAAGCATTTTCTACTAATAACTAAAAGAAGGATGTTCTAGGCCAAAGGAAAATAACCCTAGGTGGAGGGACTGAGATGTRAAAAGAAATTATAACAAGAAAGATGGAAACTGGGGGTAAACATAAATATGCATTAACTGCCTACAGCAATGTTTGTATCCAAGGGAATTTTTTTTAAACATACCACTTTAATAATACCTTATATCACAAATAATATGRTTGTAGTTATATAATCTGTTATTGATTATTTGAAAGAAGAGTAAATATATTTAACTTTGCATTTTGATCACTTATGTATGTAGGCTGAAATATATTCAGATTAAGACAAGAACAATAATAACAGAGAGTGCAGAGGGTATAACTTCCAAACTACAAAAAATTGGGATGGGGTACAGAAAAGTTAAGACAAATAGAAAATGAATAACAATCCAAAYATATCTATAATTACAAAAATCAGAAAATACCAAATGSTTTATTTTAAAGATAGAGGTCATTTAAATTTCTCAAATTATCTACATGCTGATTACCGGAACTCCCCTAAGACAGAATATATAAAATTAGAAAGTAAAAGGATGAAAAGAATCTATACTAAGCAAATAATAACCAAAAACACCAACAAAAATTGATATTATTTCTATTAGTTTTGTATAAATGAAACTTTAATTAGAGTTTCTAAATAATGATAAAATTTCAATTTACTAGAAACATACAATATTTTGAACATGTGTATGCTTAAGAACTAAATTTCAAAATACATAATAAATAATATATTTGTAAATAAATTTGATGGGCAAGAAGAAATAGATTAATTTGTTATCATAATGAAAAATTTGAACACATCTACATTAGGAGCAAGTTTYATCTTTTATATTGAACAACTGCAATTCAAAAGTTGCATGGGAATTTTCAGCAAGATGATCACATATGGGGTCTTAAAGTAAGTCCCAACAACTGCCTCTTCTACTAAGCCATACAACCTCGTTAAGTTGTCCACTGGGAAGGACCGGCCACATGTAAGTAAGCTTGTTCCATAGGGGATTTTCAACTCTGGAATGCTTCCATTGGCCTGGCTTACTGATCCCTTCATGTTTTATGGCCCACCTAAAACAAAATAAAAACAAAATGGGATGTATCAAGGCTAAATGTCATTTCAAAATACATATTTTAATTGAGTACTTGCTATGTACTAGGTGAAGACTTAGTTTGAAATAAAAACCCCAATCTGATCATTTGCTGCTTACAAGAGACACAAATGAAACTAATTTAAAAACACTAGATTTTAAAAATCAGAAAACATGTTAAGACAGAATTGTCAATATTATAATAGACTGAGGAATTTAACACAAAAGAAAGAGTCATTTTATAATAATAATGACATCAAACAAAGCTATTAGATATTCAGAGAGAAACTAATATACACACAATTATTATGGGAGAAACTATTACAAGATCAACAAATTACAAACTATACAAAATAGCTTATTAAAATGATAGTTTATGTAAAAAAAGCAATAAAYAAGGACATAAAATATCTGACCACTCTAACTAATAAATGTAATTATGATCATTTATTTATGCACATTGTGGTCTAACASTCTGTCTTTCTCAAAATTTTCTGAACATTTGTAATATTTGCTAAATATACACAAAGYAAACTTCAATACAATTATAAAATAAAATTCACACACATTGTGACAAATAATAAAATATATTTAGATATAAGCAGAAGTTWAAATTTTACAGTTTGAATCATATAATAATTTAAAAACCACACATCTCTTTCCCCAAATACTATTTATCAGATAGGGAAAAAATTAACATGATCAATAGCTACTTAAGCAATAAAAATAATCTATGTGAAAACTTATAGTATATATCTAGATTTATATTCAAATTAAACTCGGAGTGTTTATTTATTAAACACTCTTATTAAACAGCTACATCAAGAAGGTAAACTAATGAAGCCTTCAACTCAATCACTTATTTTAAAAACATAAAATTATCCCATGAAAAACAAGTGAAGGGGAATTGAGATTTAAATATAACTAAATAATTTGTAAAAGTGGAATGTTTTGAAGAAATGTTTKTGAAATAAAAAAGAAAATACCAAATYTTTTGCAAACAAATCTAGATTAATAACACAAACTAAATGGGGAAATTAAGCTAAATTATTAATACAGAAGATCAAAAGTGAGAGTATATTATGCATGCTTATTCATAAATGCAATAATTCTGATAAAATAAATGAATTTCTGAAAAAAAAATTTCATGGATTTCAAAAAKAAAACATCCTCCCATATATAATTTCATAGGTCATGAAATATATCATTTTTTATGCTATATAATATATTCTAAACCAGAAAGATATAGATATATAAAACTAGTTAATTCATTCCATGAAAGGAAGATAAGCTTCATAATAAAGTCAGTCACTAGCAATTTAAGAAAAGATACAGCAATAATAAGTATAATTATATATGTAAAACTCCTAAATCAATATTAACCAATAAAATGTAATATTATGTCAAAATCGCTATAGCTAAGTAATACTGATCCTAAAAATGAAATGATGGACATTTATTAATATAATACATCACTGATTAATGAAGGAGAAKACAGGAACCACACATCACCCATAATTTTCTAGCACATATGATGGTCATCAGACCCTGAAAARATTTCTAAGATTGACCAGCCCTATCAGACCATCTGCAGTACTCCACCTTATGTTGAAGGGCCCAGTTTTCCCACAAGCTTGCTGGAAATGCATGGGGCCCAGACACCAAAAGGCAGTGGGAACAGGAAAGACCTATTTCTAAACAACATGGAACCAGAAAAAATAAAGTTGAGAGTTCTCAAAAGACAGGCAATGGTAGAATATAGCTCCCACGTTATATTTCCCTTCACTGAGCGTGAACTCATACACTTATTATCTGAATGATGATTTTTATATGCCTTATTTTCTCTTAATACCTCATAAAATGTTAGCTATATACAAGACAATAAATACTCCATAAGCTGAAATAAAGTCTAAAGAGAAATGGAAAATCCATTCATCAAACATATTCAAGCTAAAYAACTTCCAAAGGTGGTAAACTCTTGTTATCGTAGATAAAACAGACATATTTAAATCATAAATTTTGTTTTATTTTTCTGAATACCTGGCCATCTCCATGACCTGTTTCTTTTGCAACCCTCATTTTTAGTAGTTTTCTCAATCATTCTGGGCCTGGAGATGTGAAAGCTCTTCTTGTCCTGCAGAGCCATTTTCAGGTTACTGTTACTCTATCCATCTCCAAAGATGCCCAGTGTTTTGAAACACATATATGTAACCTATAGCACCTACTACCCTTTTTATTGAGTTCATATTAGTTTTCCTGTATCCTCCCTTCCCATTTTTTAAAGAATTTACCACTCTGGCTTACTTTTTTGTTTTTTCCACCTTTGCTCCTAAAATCATTCAACATCTTTTCAATACTAAGTAGACAATCTGCCCTGGCCTCTCAGTGCCTCCTGTTTACTTAACCTCATTTCTTATCCACCTACCCTTCCCATGGACACAGTTCCAAACCAGGCATCACATATAATTGAAACCACTTCCAAGTCCAATTTCAAGGCCACCTTCCCATCACCTCCCTTTTCTCCAATTTATGTACTTAAGTAGCCTGTGCCAACAATTCCTCAACTGTACCAGATGCTCCAATCCATTTCCTCTATCGCCTTTCATACTCCAGAGCCAGGGGGGTATCCCTTTCCTTCGTTCTCAGCCAAGATTCATGGTATAGCGTTATAGCCACTCTTTTGTCTTCACCCTCAACCCAGTATCCCTCTTTGCCTTCTTTGCACTTGAAAAAATATAACCAAACATTGTTAAGTCCAGTTCTCTAGGCTTTGAATTTAAAACCTATATCTCAACAGTTGAGCAAAGGTTGGAGAAAAAACAATCATGAACAGAATTACTATATACAGAGCCTGGTGAGGGTGGGAGGTAATAGGAAGTTATTTGAAAATGCTTTGAGAATTAGGACTGTTTTGATTGTCATAATGACTTGGAGGACACTGTTCTCATTTAACTGGTAGGAATCTAAAAATATCAAATGTATGTCAAAGTGTAAGAAGTTAGACCTGCATACCACAAACTTTACAGTTTTTCTCTGAGYATTCATGGAGGCAAAAAATCGATTTGCCTGATTCTAAAAACAAACTGTCTTTTAACACAAARTATCTTTGCACAATTTTAATACACACTGAATTCCCTATTAATTCAGCTCCCTCAAGGATAGATCTGTTTCTTTCATGTCGTTAACTTTTTTGCAAAAATCATATCACTAATGACATCACCATTCTTGGCAACAAATATAACATAGTTGCATACTTTGAAACTTGTGTTCACATATTCAGGTGATTCTATATAGAGGAACAAGTGTATACAAACTTGATAATGTTTTCTAGACAGCTGGGTTGAGATTTTATATTGAAGTATATATTACTTTTACTTCCAAGCTATTTTTCTTTGATTACCATTGTCATTATAGGAAAGGCATTTTTTCAAAAGTTATCGTGATGAGCAGGTTCTCTTAACTATGAATTTTATTTTGGAATAGTGAAAACATTATAAAACATTTGTTATAAAAGGGAGCATCATATCTGATTGTGCTAACATTTACTATGTTAAATTATGACCATAAACCTCAGGTGGACTCCAACCCTATTGTGAGAGGGGCACATCAATTCCTTTTCATTMAACCTCTCAGATTCCATTGCCCATTTCTTGATGTCTGCTGGTGATCTTATTTTGCTGAGAAAAGAGAAGTGGACAGAAAAGACTTTCCTCGTCCTCTCACCAGCAAATCTACCAGTCCTTGTTGCTGTGATTGCATATACTCTGCTGCCCTCTTGCCACCATGGAGCTGTCTGTGCTCTTGATCTAAGCCAACATTTTTCCTTGTGCCCCAGATCCTTATCTTCTCTCCTCTAGGGCTTTGTTCTTGCCCTGCACCATTAATTTTCCTTCCCTTCTGGGTCATTCCATCTGCATAATGTTTGACACTCAAATATCTTTGAAAGAAAATATTTTTATTTTTATTGAAAAAGGAATCCTCTCTGAACCCTACATCCTCTTGTAGTCATTTGCCTTATTTCTTTGTGTCCCTTTGCAGCAAATTCTTTAATAAAAGATTTGTCTCTTTCTCCTCTCTTTCTCTTTTCTCATAAACCAATTCAAATTTTTGTCTTTGAAACACCAGTGAAAATGCCTCATAAGGTTTTTTAAATTTTTTTTAGTTGTAGATGGACACAATGCCTTTATTTTATTATTTTATTAATTTATGTGGTGCTGAGGACYGAACCCAGTGCCCCACACATGCAAGGCAAGCACGCTACCGCTGAGCCACAACCCCAGCCCCAACCTCATAAGGTTTTTACRTTACCAAGACCAAAGATCAATTCTTAAAACATAACTAAATTAACAACAGCAGTGCCTGACAAATTCTCATTMCCTTCACTCTTTTTTTTTTGTTTTTTGTTTTTGTTTTGTTGTTGTTGTTTTATTTTTGTTTAATTTGTGTGTAGTACTGAGGCTTAAACCCAGGGCCTCGCAYATAATGGGTAAGCAGTCTAGGTTGAGTTACATCCCAGCCYTTATTCCTTCATTTTTTTAGGGGTCTAGCTATGTTGCCAAGGTTGGGTTGAACTTGGGATCTTAGCCTTCTGAATAGMTCCTGAGTAGCGGGAATTACAGGCATGCACCACCATGTCCAGCTTCCCTCCTCCTTAAAATACTTTCTTCACTTGACTCTTGGGAAACAATATTCTCCAGGTTTTCTCCCCTGTTAGTAACCAAAAATTGTTAGTCTCCTCTTGTGTGCCAGAAGTTGGAAAATAAAACCTTTGAATATTCAGGGCCTGCCACATCAACAGAGTAACAGAGATGTCCCATTGGCCTGATGCATGCAGGGATATTACTCTATGATAAAGTACAAGTCCCATCTTGCACTTCATATGACAAAGACTAAGGTACAGCATTGATATAGGTTCTTCTGGATTTTTTAGTCAACATCTATCATGCTTCAAAATATTGCTCTGATGCATTTACCAGGTAA